AATATGTGTTGTGTACCTGTGAGAAATTCCCTGTCTTGTGTGTGCAGTGTTCGCCAGACGTCCTAGAGACCGAATGTGTGTAAAAGTTTGGTCAAAGACCTGAAGTTTGTGGAGTGTTTTAGCTCTTCGTGACGAGTGTTTCGCTGTCGAGTCCAGTAGAGGGTCTTGGTACTGGTTAAGATCCCCGCAAAGGATAGTCGTGCCCGTCTGCAGTTGTGCTACGAGTGTCAGTAGCGTTCTGAGGAAGCTACCCTGGTTTACATTAGGGAGGTATGCATTTACAATAGTGTAAGTGGAGTTGTTTATGGTGCATATCAAGATAAGGTACCTTCCCTGTGGGTCTTGCCTCACCGTTATTTTTTCATACGCCAAGTGGCGGCTGAGGAGGATAGAGACCCCTTTACTCTTTGTTGGGGCTGTTGCATGATATTGGTGGGGATAGATCATTTTCCCTAGGACCGTGTTGGAATTCCTTTGGAAGTGCGTTTCCTGTAGGCAGATTATGTCGGCCTGTGTGGCCTTCAGTTCTCTTGTGCGGGTTATTTAGTCCTCTAACGCTGTGTGTGTACATTTTCATAGTGCGAACAGTGTGTGGATTTGTGCTAGTCTGGTGCTGTGGTCTAACCTTAGCTCGTGTGGATGGCATGAAGGTGTGCGGGCTACCCAATGGGAAGGGCGGTATGCAGCTCTCCAGTAGTGTACTTGCCGAAGAGAGCCAAGTGATCCTGGGTCTTGTTCACTGGATACCATTGTACATGCATATAGATCCTGACCTAGAGGCAAGTTCGTAGTATTACATAGCATATTCCAGACAACATGTTTCGATTGACATACCATTATACAACATAACTTAAAAAACATTAACTTATAACTATAATCGGGCACCACTGTTGAGGTACCCATTTAACAAGGATCGAAGGTAAAAGTGAACCTTCTTGGGTGGGGGTAGGTGGTCGTGTCAGGCTAGATCAGGCCCAGGTCCAGGCGGCTCAGAGAGACATCACATATTTTTAAAGGAACACTAGCATTAGGAATGCAAACATGCTTTCCTAATCTTAGAGTGATTTAGAGGCTATTTAGATTCAGCTGCCCCACAGAGGTTATAAAATTCATATATTAACGGACCTTCAGAACAACAGTGTGCGGTTTGACTCTCGCCGCAGTCACCCCTCCTCCCCAATACTGATGATCTCAGCCAATCCAATGCTTCCCCATAGGGAGGGCTAGTGCCACTCTAGTGGCTGAGCTGCGTACATAAGATGTAATAATGAAACCTTTCTGGCACTAGGGGTTGTGGCTAAAGAGGTGGGATTATGTTGCAGCAGTCTGCAAAATATTTTCTTTTTGTGCAGAAACAAATCAAGATTTCAGCTTGCAAAAAGTAAAAGCAGCATATTAAGACAAAAGCCTAGCAAATGCAATAAAGTTGCACTGGTGCCTGGAGTGTTAAAGGGACACTGGAGTGTTAAAGGGACACTGGAGTCACCCAGACAACTTCAGTTTAATGAAGTGGTCTGGGTGCAGTGCAACTGTAATTTTAGTCCTTCGATTGAAAACATTGTCGTTTGTAGATACTGGCAGCCACTAGAGGAGCTTTGTGCTCTGAGAACAGTTTCAAATGCTCACACGTCACCTCCTTCGAATTCTTCTTACAGAGAGCATTCTATTGGAAGGGTGCGGAGCTTGCCACACATACATTTCCTGTCCCTAATGCTTCTCATGGAAAAGTATTGGAATGGACAAGCCATAGAATTTTCCCTTTTTTATATTTAATTTAGGTGGGGGTGGGGGGCAACCCTGAATCTATTTAGAGAGGAGAACACTATACGGTTCGGAATACAATACATGATTGCATCCCTAACCCTATAGTGTTCCTTTGATTTCACATTTTCCCTTCCAATTGTTTGTCGTTCTATAAAAGGATATTTTTAGGAAATTATGGAGGGGTCTATAGGTCCAACAGCATGCTGACACTAGGGTGGCATTATTAAAGCTACCCTGCTTCTCTGTGTACAAAACATTAGCCAAAACTCTTCTGTAACCACAGGTTGGCTATTTTAGTGATTTTGATTTAAAGGGGCACTCTAAGACCCTAACCTGTAGGGCACACTGTAAAGATTATGGATCGAACGGAAAAACCTGCTTCGGAGTTTGCCAGCTCTGTAACTTATGTATCCGGGGAATGCTTCTTGGTTTTAACATAATTTTACTACTTACAACGAGGGGATGAAGGGAGCTCCACTGCGCTCCTGCGTCCTGTAGTGGTTATGGTGCTTGGATTGTACTTTCCACCAAAATTCAGTGTTTAACAAATTATCTTCCAAATGTTGGAATTTGGTTTTTAATTCACTACAATTGATTTAAAAAAAAAAAACACAAGAGGACGCACAACCTGTAGACTCTATATTAGGAGGTTATGACAACATAGCAGTTTGGCTATTTTACCAAAACATTTTAAAATTCACTTTGAATTCTCACTTTAGTAAATTAATTCTGACAGACTGGGATCCAGACAGTGAGAGTTTAGTGGGGGGGAGGCTTCCATTGGCAGCAGTTACTGACATATTGATACAAAGCACCCTCTGTCTCTCTGTCTGTCTGTGTCTCTGTCTGTCTGTCTCTCTATATAACACATGGCACTGTCCTCTGCTGCCCTGGCAGTAAGTACCCAGCAGTCAGGGGGCACAGAGCACACAGGGTACCTACCTTACAGGTGTATATGAGATGGTAATGAGTGGACTGGATCTGCCCCAGGGTAGGTTCCCCATGGTGGGTGCTGGATGTGTGAAGGTTCCTGTGGAGGGGCACCAGGTAGGTACTCTGGGGTCTTATAGCTGAACTGGGGGCACACAGCCTGCTATACCAGGTGACATGGGCATCACTCCTTACCCATAATGCTCTTGTTTCTGGGAGCCCCCTAACTCTGAGAGCCCCCTGACCCTCATAGCCTGCTGTCCTGCCCAAAACCTGGAGAAACCTGCAGCTACTAACCAGCATGGCTATATTACTGAGCCGGAAGTCTGCCACTGAGGGCGGAAGTGAACGCTAATTCGGCGGCCGCCATCTTTGATGTGGGCAAGAAGCTACTAATTCGGGGATGTTATTGTTGTATTTTATAATAAATGGTGGATAAAGTGGGGTTTGTGCCATGGAAAACCCTAGCAGCCAAGGAAGACCAATTATGCCAGGCATAAAAAGCCGTGCTGGTGGCTGAGCAGTGTGGGAGTTGTGGCTGAGCAGTGTGGGAGTTGTGCCTATCTGTATGTGTGTGAGTCTGGGACAGCACATGTCAGGGGTGTATTTAGCCCAAGGAAAACTAGGCATTTGTCTTGGGCGGCAATATTTAGGGGGCATCAAAAAATGCCACCCTCAAATGCCCACTGCGGTGTCCCCTGTGATACCGCTTTCATATTAGCTGGCCAGCTAATAGAGACCCCCACCAACTTCCGGCGGGCGGCTTACCATCCGAGGCGGCAAGGGAGCTGTGATGTCACTGCTCCCTCGCGCGCCATTTACTGATGCTGTGGGAGCCGGAATATGACGTAATTCCGGCTCCGCCATCAGTAGACAGCGCATGCGGCGCGAGGGAGCAGAGCAGAGAGATCACAGCTTCCTCGCCGCCTCCGGTGGTTATTTTTATGATTATTTTTTAATTTTATTTTAAACCCACACCAGCCTTCCTATCTTTGGGAGAGCTGGGTGGATTTTTTACCTGGGGTCCAGTGGGGCTGCTGGCCGGGCTGCTTGGGCAGGGAGGGAGACAGGCGTGCAGGCAGTTGGGCGGCTAGCTGATTTCCAAGGCAGGCGACGAGGGAGCGCTGGTTTGTGAGCTCTCTTCTCAGCTCCCTCGCATGTCGCAGAGTGATACCGGGAGCCGGAATATGACGTTCTAATAATATAACCCAGAGATGTACAGTATAGCGAACCCTGCTACTGTGAATATCGATTACAAACTAATTCTAAGTATTTATTTGTGCAGTGTGCTTACTTCCAAGCTGAGTGGCTTTTGGTGGGACAGTAACCCCCATTTCACATTTGTATTGCACAGCGTTGGGGGGTATAAACATGTGCACTGTGGTATTTAGAATTTGCTAATCCTTTATAATTCCTTGTATCTATCTGACAACTTCACATTGATGGGCAACAAAAAACACTCATATTACAAAAGTATAAATCTGCGCATCAGTCCACAAGGAATCCCAAAGTAATTGTGCTGGTTTGCCAGGATATGAATCTCTTATTAAGTGCGCTGAGTTTAGGATTAGTAGTTCTGTGATTAAGGCTGGAAATCTGGGTTTTAATAAATCACAAGCATCACAATGACCTTCAATATAGCCATGAATTTATTTTACAAACAGACTGATACAGGTTATTCACATACAGGGTTATTCACTAAGGTGAGAATTCAAGGTGAATTTCAAATTCAAGGTAAAAATAACTGACCTAGAAAAAAGTCAAAGCCGGCAATGATTTCAGTTTGGCTACTTTGGCCTCAAATTTGAAAATTAATTTAGAGTAATTTTCACCTACTTTACATGGTACATGTTTTCTATTTGAAAGCTAGAACATGGCATTTGTTTTCATATAAATACATGAATTTATATTAAAAAAAATATATCGATACTTTTGGAGTTTACAGTCGATTATCTGTGAATTTCGGTATTTTCTGCCTGTTGTAGGTCCAGTTGCAGCATTTCAGCAGTATATCCGATCTAATACTTGAATACAGAACATTAATCTCATCTTTAATTCTTAATAGGGTTTATTCACAAAGCATTAAGTTGTATTTAGGTGAAAAGTATCAAAATTAATGCTAAAAAATCTCCAACTGTGCTACGAAGCTATCGTCACAGCTTGACTGTATCACCAAGTCAGTTCTCAATTCTCTGATTACCAATAAACCATACATTTTTGTTAAATTAACAGTGAATTTTCATAATTCATCAGGGAATTTTATATTTAGGACCACAGTAGCTGAAATATCAACATAATTGACATGGAGGCTTTTCCAGATTGGTCTAATACTTGCAATTCCTGTACAAAACCAATGCAATCATGATTGTCCGTTATTCTGTCCATAAAGGACCCAACAACATGTCAGCTGTACGATCTCTATTAATGGTTGACAACATAAGGTCAGAATTGTTGCTGGTTCCCCTTTTAATGGAATAAAACCTGAAGGATGGTTCCCTTTTATTTGGTAAGGTTTATATACCCCATACCCAGAAATTCAAACTTCCTTCATCTGTAGAGGCACAAGGGGGCAATGTCAACCCATAAAATGGACAGTACTGTGCGTAAAAAAACTTTAAATGTTTAGCAAACACCCACTTTGCTCTGGAGCTGGTTATGGAGTGACTACAGACACGGACAACGACGCCAGCGTAGAATGGAGGTGTCTGACCCAAATCTCTAAATCAAATCCTTAGAGATCAATTTTGATGTTCTGATTTGGTGAGATAACCCTCCATTCTCAGTATCATATTTACTGAGCCTTGTGATAATGAACAATGGACATCACTAATTGACTGCTTTCAGTCCTTTCTCCGGCAGGACACCGGGGAGATATAGCCTAGAAAGAAAAGTCTAGGGACATGGTTTTCACAAATACACACAATCTCAAAAGAAAAATGACCAGCTCAATAAATATAGCTCTCTGTGATATATAACAGCGAAACAAGCCTTACATTCAGAAATATAAAAAAACAACCCCTCCCCAAATAAACCATTAGCTTAAATTATTAAAAATGACAGTAATAAACATGAGTTTTATAGCATACTTTATTCTCATCTCTGCATTTAGTGCACTGTAACTATAGTCAAATTGGCTTAAAGAGACAAACAAAAATAATCCGAAAACAGTGATCTGGAAGCGCCCCAGAGCTTTTCTTTAATGTAGGATTCCTGCAAATCGACAGGTGCCATAACTTTTAGATTTATATATGAATTGCTATTTTTTTTTATAATGGTAATTTATTTCAAAGCATCGCTGATCCTTTATATTTGCATTAAGTGTTGTGGGTTTCCTTAGGCCAGTGACAGCTAAATTTGCACTACCTGCTGACATTTGTGGACTACAATTCCCTTAATCATCAGCCAGCCAGGATACTGGGAATTGAAGTCTACAGACATTTGCAGTGCCAAATGTGTACATAATTTGGAGGCGGAGCCTGACTGCCGAACGGAGCAGACGTGTGTCACAAGAGCTCCTGCACACGCTAGCGTGAATCCGGGGATACCCCCGACTCTAACGACTCTGTAAGCACAGCCTAGCATTAATCTTGCAGAGGAAGCTCCGGTGATTTGGGAGACACCTCACTCGAGTGTCCCCGCAACCGACGGCCCAAATCGAGGCCTACACACGAGGGAGCTAGGGAGAGGCCGCCGCTCTCCCGGCACCCCAGCTGGCTCCTAAGCAACGGAATCGTGAAATCCCCACCCTGGACCGGCGGGGGTTATCCCGGTCCCTATTGGGTTGCCCCACGCAGTAGCTGACACACAGGAGGAAGACCTGCAAGCAACAGCATACCTCAAGATGGTCTACTAAAGAGACCCAGGCACCCAAAGCCCCGCTGGATCCCACTGGCTGCTCCCTGCTCCCACTGGACGCAGTATTTGCCGCCTTCTGGGCATGACTGGAGAAACTATCGTCAGCCTCTGCTGGTCTACCTGAACGCACATGGGCCCCCTCCGAGTGAAGCTACCCGCTATGCGCGGGTCCCTCCCATCAAGCGACCGCCCAGACTGAGGTCTAAACAAGGGAGGAACCCATCTCAACGCCCACGACGGAGAAAGCCCCTACCACTGCTCCAGTGCCACGTTCCGGTGAGACATCCCAGGAGGGGCCACGATGCTGGGATGGTGCCCTCCGACTCAGCGACGCCTGATGCCTGCCGCAAACCAAGCTAGAGTTACACACAGCCACAGCTGCCCCCCTACACAGCCCAGCAGACTGCTGTTCTCCAGAGCCGACTGCATCTCAAAGGCTGGAGGTACACGACGGTGGGCCCCCCCAAGAGAGACATGGGCCCCCTGCATGACCCAGGCTGGAGATCGTGAGAGGGGCTGGAGCATTCGATGGCCTAGCGGAACAGTCAGCAATACCCCTCCCCACTGCCTTAAACTACCATATCTGGGGGCCGACACACTCCCGACGGGTCAAAGATGGGACTACCTGCTCCAGCACACTAGTGGCATCGGGTGAAGGTTTGCAGGAGCCTCTCTCCCTGCTACCACCCTGGTCAGCAGAGCAGAACTGAATGGGTAGTCACCCTACTATTATCCGATACCCAGCGGTTCAAACATATCATTTCAATTGTTTTATATGCTTTAGCTAGATTTGTCTCTATACCCCATGTTTTTTTCTTGTTCCCCTCAACCCAGAAATATACTAGCATAATCTTAACCTGAAAGTCTTCACTTCTACTTAACTGGCTGGCACCCCAGACATGCGCCTAGAGGGACGTTCTAAATTTTACAATACCCTCAGTAATCATACCTTGCAGACCAGCACGTCTCCACACTATAACCTACAGGCTAGTATAGTTTAAGACTAGTAATCTCACTGATAAATGCACCTAGCCGTACATACCTTTGACAAATGTACCTAGCCTCTGTACACTACAGAGCATTAACCCAAGCTAACATGACCCTTCAAAGCATGTATGTTATTCACAGTGGTTGGTTCGCTGGTCTAATCACCACCTCTCAATGCCTACATATATCAATATCCTACGGTCTCCAGTACTGTGTACAATACTCCAAGTGAGGTCTCACCAGTGTTCTGTACAATGCCATGACTTGTTGTCTGACAGCCATGGGGGTGTAAAAAGGTTCATTTATAAAAGCACCAATTTATATTTAAATTATTTAAATCTGCACTTTTTATAAAATGGGGAGAGAGAAACACTGTTTACACATAAACCATTTCAGCAAACCAAAAGTTATTTAAGGGTCTGGAGTGTCCCATGAAACCTGAGATTGCCTGTCTGATAAAACAAATATAACATAAGTTGATGAAGATTCACAGAAGGCTACATATTACATTAAGGTCATTCACATGACGCTCAGAAACCTGGAATTTTGACATTCAGCCTTCTGGCAGTATAGTCTGGTTCATAAAATATTGTAAGAAATTGGAGGAGGAACTTGCTTTGTTATTTCATCAAATTGACTACCAGTAGGTCCAGCCCATGGTTTCTAGGCAATAGTAATAGATTTATTTTCACTCTTTGATTAAAATTTCTGTTGCTTTTCTGGTGTTGCCACATAAACCCAACATCCATACATCGGCAGTGTTCGAACGAAACCCAAATGTTGGGTATTTATTGGAAGTGCACCAGCTTGTTCTCAATAATGCACCACTGTTAGGCTAAATACTGGTACTACCACACATCTAATATACCATCCGAGGTTGCCCACTCCTCTGGCAATGAAGTCCTGTTCGATCGAACGGTGCAATATGAATAGACGGTGCAATTATTGCAGCGTAACTAGGGTTGTATTGGATTATTCTCCCCAGTGGAATGACGTAGTCCTCTCGATTTATGTTCCCACAAAGTCCATAACTTTAGTCTTTGCTTTGTGATGAACATTCCCTTTGCAATTCATGGACTTCCATCTGTATCACTTTCCGTTGTATAAAATTCCACTTCCGCGTTGTTTTTAATCTTCAAGGCTCTTTTCCTGAGAAAAAATAAATAAATTGCAACTTGTAATGTTGTTTTTAACATGTCTCCTAACGTTCTAATCAACCAATCAATGGAACATCTACACTACAACCATGCTGGAACAAACTATAGTAAAAGGATTCATCGAGGAATAAACAGGCCTTATTTCTCAATATACTTCAGACAATTTTCCCATGCTCAGCAGGGGCAAAATTTATTCAAATACCAGCTTGAACAATGAGTTTGAATTCAGGTTTATGGGTGAGAGAGGTTTAAAGGACATCTTTACAAAATCCTCATCAAATATTACCTTTTTTTTAATAATATTTTGTAAATAGTAACTTTTATTTTTTTAATCCTTTTTTTTTTTTTTTATACTATAGGCATCTCTCTGTGTGCAGTGGCCCCTGTTACGTACAACATTCTGAGATGTGTTTTCATTGCACGGCTAAACACACCTCTTGTGGCTTTCTGGAAAACACTGAGTCAGACCCTGTTATGTGACATTCGTCATCCTCATATATAGCATGAGGGCGTCAAACGTCCTGTAACGCCGTGTTTCTCTCTGAGAACAATTGAATTGGATGGAAAAAACAGAGGCAACACCTGTGGGATGACATCACTGGAAGAACTGTCCGAATGAATCTTGACACTTTATTTTTAGATTTAATCTAGGGAGAAGAGCACTATAATTTTAGGAATATATGTTTGTATACGTTTATTATTCTATTACCCTCCCAATGAGTTCTCTGTGCTGAGCAGAAAAAGTGGTTTTATAAACAACACCGAGCAGTGGATCAAAAAAATTATTTGGAGAAGATGCACAGTTTCTGGTTTAGTGATGAAATCTTTGTGTGTGGGTAGCCTGGGCTTGTGTGAACATTATGGGGTAAATAAGTATTGACATTGCAAATTCCACTGATACATTACTGTATTCTTACTGTAATGTACTGTTGGTACAAGGTTCAGATAACTTGTATCTATGAAGAATGTCGACAAACTTGTCTCTTTTATTCACAAATCTCAGTAGCTTGAGAAAAGCAGATTAACAAATGCTCATGAAAAGGTCAAATATTTAGCAGATACGGTTGGTTTTCTAATGTTAAAAAAATAAATTTCCACTTTTAGCAACCTGACATTTCTTACTATTTTTAGCTTAACCTTGGTTTTTTCAAAAACACGGATTGAGTCAGTTTGGTGTGAAAACATTCAATATTTTTCGTTGACATTTTTAAAGTATTTTCCAGTTTTCAGTGAAACATCTCAAACCATCTGCCTTGAAAGAGATTAATTTAGTGACACAGATAGCACACACGTCATTTATGTATCGGGAAGAAATAAAATACACAAAATAAGCAGCAAATTAGGAAACATTCAATTCAGGGCTATTTACTAACGAGAATTGTCGTTAATTCTAAGTAAATTCAAAGTGAATTTCAAATTTAGAATCAAATTAGCCGAACTGGAAAAATTATCCAAGTCCGCTACATGTCATATTCACTTTAGCAAGTAATCCTGAAACCTCCCACAATGCGTTGGGTGCCGCTAAATGCCCAGGATTATGGCAGATGTATTTGTAGATTTTACGAGATCAAGGTTAAAAAAAATAATGGAGTTAATTTATACATCTGCTAGAAGTAAACCATCTCAATTTATCTACAAAGTGTTACCATGGCATTTAAATGACAGGTGCACTCTAACGGAACACATGACGGATTTATTCCGCTCGTGGCAAATAAATGAGGGCAGTGCAGATT